GAATGCACCGTTCATCTTGGTGTCATTCTCAAACTCGCTGAGGGTGCACACAACCCCACTGTCCATGTCATTGATGAAGACATTAAACAGTATTGGTATATCCAACAGAGTATATCCATCTTGCACCACAAACCTTCCTACAGCAAAACCCACACTGTGCCAGTTGTCCGGCAGCATTTCTGCCCCATCTCCGACCTGCTGGCAGAACTGCCGAAGCACCTAGCGCTGCCCTGGCATCGTGGCTGGGAGGAGCATCATCAGTTGAGGAGCCACCAATGCATGTAGCCTCCAAGCAGATGTCCATGGCACGGGACACCTGCATCTGGCATGACTCAATAACCGTCATCAGTTTTAGAGATTGCTCGGGATCTCCTGTGCCACCAAAACGCCCCAAGGAGCACATCCAGGACAAGACCACCATGGGCATCGCAGCTGCAGATGCCAGCTCCCAGGCACACCGCCCCAGAGATAGGCCTTGACCAACTTGTGCCCTTTCCCCAAAGAAAGGGATCGGATATAGTTTCTACACACAGACATTCAGACTAGATACAAGGAAGAAATTTTTTGCAGTGAGGGTGGTGAAACACTGGAACAGGTTACCTAGAGAGGTTGTAGATTCCACATCTCTAGAAACATTTGAGCTCAGGTTGGATGGGGCTCTGAGCAACCTGGTCTAGTTGAAGATGGGCCTGCTCACTGCAGGGGGGTTGGGCTAGATGATCTTTAAAGGTCCTTTCCAACCCAAAGCATTCTATGATTCTACAATTCATTTTTATATATTTTACATATATATACAGCGATATATAGAGAGATGTCTGTATCTGCATAGATACATCTATCCGTAGATACACAGGATATAGATATTGCTCTATATATCTTATACATTTTCTATATAGTTATAGAAACCTGTGTCTTACATAGAGAAACTATATAGTTTCCGTGTAGTGCCTTGCATAGTTTCTATATGTAGGATATAGATATCTCCCTGTATACAACATATCCTAGACACAGATCTCCTTCTATATAAGGCATGTAGAGAGGTATGGATATCTCAGATACAGAAAAACAGACTGAAGGACTCCAGTCAGAAACTAGGTAAAAGGCAGAATCTGGTCTGCCAGAGAGCAGAGATGACCTCCTACATACAGATCCTATATGCAGGATATAGCTATCTTTCTCTGTAAGCTACACCCTATAGAGACACAGCATCTACATCTAGAGAGATCTGCATCTGGAGGGTCTGTATCTAGAGAGATGTAGGATCTATTATTTACCTATATCCCAGAGGATTTAGGATATAGCTATCTGACTCTATAGGATATATGTTATAGAGAAAGAGCTATACAGAGAGGATCTACACCCAGAGGACCACCCCAGGAGACACAAAGCGCTTCCAAACGCTTTCCTAAATAGTGAGCAGAGCCTCACTTTCCAGCTGGAGCTGAACTCCCTGGCAGGGCAATCACGCCTGACATCATCTCCAATTAGTTATCAGCCAAGATGCAGCCCAGGCAGCTGCCTGCTCTGCCTCCCTGCCTTTTCCTACTTGCTGCCTGCTCCCTTTCATCCCCCAGAGCTGCACTGGCCGGCTGCTGGAAGAGCAAAAAAACCCTGCACTCCCCCCTCCTCGATAAGATAACGTTTAGGGTAACGGGAACCACGCACATCTTCCACGTGGGATCAGGCGCTCTCATGCCCTGGATGCTTTCAAGGCTGAGCGGCGGGCAGGGAAGGCAGCTGCCGACT